CTTTTTACATACAAAAGTGTCGTGATCTGTTAGCTCGCGTCATTTGAAAATTTAATTAAACGGCAGTAGTGTACAAAGGCCGGTTCATGGACACACCTCAACGACTTGCTCGTCGGGTCAACATTTTTAATGTTTCGCCCAGGCTTGTCCGGACATTGACCTTCACGTGTCAATTCCCAAGGTCAAATTTTGGAACACACCCCTACGACTTGCTCGTAGGGTCAGCATTTTCACAGGCTTGCCCAGGCATGCTCGGAAGGCTATGACGTCACTTTCGGTTTCCCTTGCGCCACTCTCGGAACCCTTTGTCTCCCGAAATCTCTTCCCCCATTCACGCATTCAGGCATCACTTGCACAGCCTCTTCAAGTCCTTCACTATGACTTCCCTAAAACTCTGCACAACGCGCCTGCAGAATGCTTTTCGAAGACTTCCCAAAGTCTTCCCGAAATCTTCCCAAAGTCTTTCCGGAGTCTTCATAATGTTTTCCAAAAACAAAATTAACATTTTCGAAAGAAAATTTTTCTATATAATAAAACAATGTCCATCACCAAACTATCAGACTTCTCCAAAGATTCGTTCGCTTTCGAAGATGCCGTCGAGAACAAATTCGGATCCAAGAAGATTAATCTAACGGCACAGGACCAAGGTCTACTTTTACTAAAACTCGAGAACTGTCTGTCCTATGGAGTGAACAAGAACAACAAGTTCGGTATGGTCAACTACTCCATCCCCCTGGCTTTAGGGGGTAAGGGGGAGTTTGTGTCGGCCCTGAAACTGGTGGAAAAGGAGTCCGCCGATCATATCGGTAAACTGGGTGAAAACATTATGAAGTGCCTTTACCGAAAAGGTAGTACTCCAACCCTATGTGCAAAGATTGACGACGAGACGGAGATCTACCCTCCGAAAGGGGACGACCTTGCGGATCACAAGAAGTACAAAGACAAAAGATTCCACCTTGATGCAGCCATCAAAATCGAGAGCATCTACGTGTCTGACAGTGTAACCTCAATTCAGGTGAAGCTGTATGAGACAAAGATACTGGAGGAAAAGCCCAGGGAACCGAGGAAGAGGCTTCTATAGACCCGTTAGAATTATTTTAATGTTCCTTCAAATATTAAAATTGGTTTAAGAACAAAAAGTTTTTTTCATATAAGTAAAACATGGAATCCTGTGAGAAACAACATCAGTTAAATATGGAACTATTCAGATAAGCGGAAAAGGAGTATTTGGATTTTATCGGTTCGGAAGAGCCGGATGAAGAAGTTCCAAACCGGAAATTGTGCTTTGAAGGACGAAAACACAAGTTTATCGATATAGACGGGGAAAGGAGGTGCAACGATTGTGGACTGGTATCCGGTCCCGTTTCATCTGCTTCGGAGTATCGATGCTGGAACAGGGCAGTTATGAAAGGTTTGGACAGAAGCAGCATCCGCTATAAGTACGACGGTTTTTGTCAGAGAAAGGGTATAACGGATTTCGTCCTATTAGAAGGAAGAACACGTGAGGTTTTGGAAAATATTGAGAAGGTTTGCAAAGCACGGGAGCCAAAAGGGAAGAGACTCCCTAATCTTAACATTCTAACATACCAGATATGTAAAAGACTTAACGTAGAGGTGGATGAGTCATTTCTTAAAATCCCGAAAAGCAAGGTTTCCCACGATCGGTGTAAGAAGATATTTAAGACACTAAGTTGGGAGTATATTGAGTAATTTTAATGTTTTATTAAGCATTAAAATTGAAATAGTAATTTTAGGGTGAAAATGACGAGAAGGACCTCAACCGTTATCGGGATCAATAGGCAGCTGATCAGGCACAGCCACATCAGTTTCCGTGGTACATTCATAATTTTGTTTATCATATTTTTTTACCGTTGCGCTGGCGTAACCGATCTGGGTATGTGCTCTCATCGTGATGGCTCCTCGTTCAATACCGATACCCAGGTTAAACATTTTTCTCCTTTTATGATTTTTGTTGTACTTCACTTCGTTTGTGATTTCAGGTTTTGCGGACCAGCATCTCATTTTTATTTAACCGGAAAATAGAATGCCATTCAACATGATTATCGTAGGTATGACAGCTTGTGGAAAGACACACTACCTCGTCCAGGAATTGAAAACCACGTTTTTTCATCAATTTGAAAACATATTTTTAATTTGTCCCACCTATCACTGGAATAAAACCTACGACCAGAATTTCATCCACAAGGACGACAATTTCTTTGATATTCCCTGCCGTCTGGACGACGTGGAGGAGTATCTTAAATTTGTCGTGGATTTCACAAAGGGAAAGGAATCCCTCATCATCCTGGACGACTGTGCCAGCACCAAGTCCGTGAAGGACCGTACGAGGGGAGCTGGTCGATCTTGGGTTTAGCGCACGTCACATGAGTATTTCGACCATCGTTATCACTCAGCAAATGACTTCCATTGCCAAGCCATACCGACAAAATATTTCGAAATTTGTAACATTCTATAATCCGAACAGACAGGACATGAAGATTATTTTGGACGAATATCTTTTTGCTGACAGCGCGGAAATGAAATCTATTAAGGAAAAGCTGAAGGAAAACAAATACGCTCATCTTGAGGTAAACCTAGTACATCCGCTCAGTCACGAGGTAAAATTTCCGGTGTTATAATAAAAGAGATGGTACCGGAATTACCGACCGCAGAAAATACGGAGATTGAATATTATAGGGCGGAGCTTATCCGCCCGTCCAATGCAGGGGAGATTACCCAGTCTGAAAAATATCGCAGAAAAGCGTCCAAAAAAGTCATTATGAAAGTCCGGAAAGACTATATCGTTGCACAAAGGGAAAAGGCAAACATCGTGCTGACGGAAGCCCTGATCGATAAATTTCCCGGTCTTATGGAAGCCATCAACATGGTGGACAGTGGGGAAGAGCTGAAGGCAGAATTAAATCAGAATAAACTGTTCAGGAGTGATGTCATAAATGTGGTGGGAAAGCTGTCCCCGTGAATACCCTATTTGGGGATCGTTAGCGGTGGAGTGAAAACCGTAAAGCATGTTTACCGGAGAACACCCGAAACACCACCACCACCTTCCGAAGAGGAACCAAAGATCGACACCGACAACTAAGTATGAAAATTTTCCAGACCTTTTAAGTTTGAAAAAACTGTGATCCCTAAATTTTAGTACTGTACGCCTGTGAGTTGTCCGTTTGCACTCAGGTAGATTAATGCATGGCTCCCATTCAAATATAGCCAAAAATACATTAAATTATATAAAAAAATCAGTTTAGTTTGTATGAATGTGGTCAATGTTGGTATATGAGGACAATAGGATTTTACTTTTTTTCTATGCCTTTGTTGCCATGGCAACAGTCACGTGACCATTTAAATGGTCTCCATCCAAATGACACAAACAAGGCCGCTGCCTCTAGCGGATATTCACGCAGATAAACTAACATTTTCACATTAACGTTCTTTAGTACTCACAGATTATGGATCCAATCAGCCCCTGTTCCTACACCGTTCAGAATTTCATATATTTTCGATAATATGCAACTGACACTATGCTCTGGTGTCAATAAGTGTACATTATTTTGAAACGAAGCCAGCTCGGAGCAGGGGCTGATTCGTTTCGTAAACTGCAAGGTTTCAACTAAACAAAAGCGTTGTTAATGTACTAAATTGACTAAAAACCGCGGTCGGCAAAGCAAACGTGTTTTCTTCCACGCGATCACTTTAGTATCGCCGCCATCATTATGAGCCCGCGTTGGAAGTTTAGCGGATACACACATAAATATACAAAATTAACATTCCAATGTTGTAAGATGATCACGCAACAACAGGAATCTCAAATCTTTACCGCTTCAAAAGCAATAATTTGGCTATCAGAACGAACAATATTAGATTTATTACTGACGATTTAAAGCATAGGTAATATTTATATCGTAAAGTGGATGCGAAATTGTGATTAGATTGCTACTGATGTGAAGAAATTTAACTGTGAAAATGTTTAAGAAATACGTAGACGACATATACAACTATAAATATACAGACGAGTTAGGGGCATATCGTGTTAACTAAATCCTCTATTGCATAATTGTAGGTATTTATGAAACCGGAAAAATATTATATGAGGAATGCACTATAAATCCGAACGAGATCAATAAAACCAAATATTTTCCCATTTCAAACATTCGTTGATATATATATAATATATATATATATATAGTTATTTAAAATTTGAGTCAGCTTTGCACACCAATATTTCGTGTATTTATTAGTGAGACGCAAGTGAATTTACAGACGCTACATCTTGCTATTATCTGCTGTTTGACAAGAGCCATTTGACAGTAATACGCGCGCGTAACTCTAATCATAATCATAAATCATAATAATATATTAACTCGTTCGGATTTTGGCGCAAAATTTAAAATTGATTTGATATACAGCTACTCTGCAATGTATAAAGTATGGTCCCAAGTTTTAGTTTAATTTGCCCACCCAAAAAGACATTTTGAAAGAAGCATTTTGAAACTTTATTACGCCCACGTGAATGACGAATACTATCAAGACACGCGCGCCTCCCGCGTGGTGTATAAAGGTCAATACGTGGACGGAGCCATGCATTAATCTAGCTGAGCAATTCCGATGACACCGTCGGAAAGGACGAACATGTGACATACAACGTTCGCAGTTGTAGCTTTTTTCGTGATTTCCACCAGTATTTCGGACTGGGTGTTTGAATTTTGGCACCGTTTCCGTATGTGTTGATATCGTTTACGGTTCTGAGATCAATGACCAGCGCAAACTTTTTGTGTTTGAAAAAGTTGGTTAGTGTTTGATGGCTGATTTCACTGGTGCCAACAGTCGTCTTGCCTCTTCGTATAGTCTTGTTTTCGGAATACCTTGACTGTAGACTGCGTTGGGCACACCTTCCACGGTTACCCTAACCTTTTCGATGTTGGGGTAAACATATTCTTCGCTGTCTGTCTTTGTCTTGTTCGTAAACAACATGACGATGGCTTTCATGCGTCTTCGTGGCACGTTGATCGTTTCGTTGATAATGGTGGAGTCGTTACTCCATTCCGTCAATTTCATCAGGATGACATATTCTAAAGACAGCTTCCGTCCGGCGTTGTGCTGACTTTCCACTTTTCTTGCCAATTCGATGTTGTCGATGGATTCGTACTCCAATTCGATGTTTTCCAGGGTATACCGTTCCATATTTCCCCCACCCTGTGCGTTCATGATTTCACCTGCCGCTGGTAGGGTTATGACATACTGTAGATCGTTTGCCATATTGTGTGGAGCGTAAAGTCCATGGTCTTTTAGGATTTTACCGATTCAGATTCTTTGTTTTGTTCCAAATACTTCGAACAATGAGGTGGCATCCACATCATCGTTTGCATCATCGTCTTTGGATATTTTCTTCCTCGTGGCTTCGCTAGCAATACCATCCTCCACCATGTCGTCACGTTGTTTCCTGTGTAACCATAGATCCTTGTAGACCTCCAGCAAACTTTCTCCACTGTTGTCGTAAACCTTTTCTCCTGTGAGACAAATTTTCAGTCTTTTTTGGAGTAGTTTTCCTAAGTTGTTTCTGAACCAGGATTTTGTGTTACTGTTCTTAAAGTCAAAGACCAAAGCCATACTGTCCGGTATGAGAACGGAGTCGGCTTTTAGCCTTGGAATATTAACGTAAATTTCTTCTCCGGGTTTGGCAGAGTTGGGGTGAAGGTTAGGACGTGTCTGGTCCTATCTCTTGAGATTTCAGCCTTGTTCATACGTCGGAAATCAGCCATAAGTTCAGCCGTTCGGTTCATTATGTTTTATTATACTACGAAAAGATATTTATTTTTTACGTCTGCTTTGTAAATATTTGTATATAGCCCCAGTAATTAGGATTGCTACGATCCATAGGTTTTTGGCAAGAAAGGAAAGACCCTTGGCTCCCCAGCTTAGGATAATACTTAGTAAATTTAAGAAAGGTACTAGTATTGGTAGTGCAGATTTTGCAAGTTTTCCTAGTGCTTTCCCAGCAGCTCCAAGTCCGCTGGATGCTCCCATAATGGTCTTCTTTCCAGCCACTACAACCGTGGTGATAATTCCAGCGATGGAAATAGCAATAGCTGTTAACACACCCAGATTTTCCCTTGCCCATTTGCGGAACTTTCAAATTTTTGTTCGTATGTCTTCCCTTACTATATCCCTATACATGTGTTTCCCCTCCTCCGTTTCAGGTTGTTGACCCTCCTCCAGTCTAGCGTTGTCAATACCTCGGTCGGCAGCATCCGCACTTTCTTGAATGCTTTCCCTTGTTCTTTTAGGGCTTTGATCCGGACTTCGGGAGGTCCCTTAGGAACGGTTGTTCCCACAATTTCCCTAGTTTCCTGTGTGTATAATTTTCCTCTTCTTTCCATACTTTTTGCATGTTCTACAAGGTTATCATCTGCAGTGACGGCTTCCTGGTGGAGATAATTATTATTATTATTATTATTTAATCATATTTAGAAACGGTAGCTCTTCAGGGCACTTACGCACCTGTTTTTCAAGAGGCCGTTTGGTTAAAAATATTACATAATATAAATATACAATACAATACAGATAAGTAGAATTACAGGCATGCATATATAACAATATAAAACGATTAACCCTACCCCCCCCCCACCCTCCCCCTTACAAACGAATGCACTAATTAAATTTAGATTAAGTGCATACACTTTAACGCGAGGAATAATGATCAAGAATGGACTTGAATTTCTGACTAGTAATTCCTGAACCTTTAGCCACAAGAGGCAAATTATTCCAGGCCGAAGAGGCTGTATAGCTTATGCTTTTCTTCAAAAAATTTGTACTTGGTTTGTCGAGGGTGAAATCTCGATTGTTGCTACGGAGGTTATACCGCGAGTTTGTTTTAATATCAAACATATTCATCATACTAATTGGCAGTTCATTATTCCTTACCTTATGCATAAAAAATAGTTTTTTGTGCTTAAGGCGTTTTTTCAGGGGTTGCCAATGAAGTTCTTTTAAAACATCGCGTGATCTTGTTTTGTATGTTCTGCCAGTGATTACACGTGCCGCTCTGTTTTGGAGTTTTTGAAGTTTGTCAATTAAATAATAACTACAATTATCCCAAACAAGGCTGCAGTAGTCGAAGCCCAGCTAACACATAACGTTGTTGCAACGTTATTTAAGGGTTGTAGTTTGGTTAGGTCAGACCTAACCTTGTGACCACGTTCACACCACATTCACATCGCTAATTATTATGAACAAACGTTGTGACAACGTTTTGTAAACGTTTGGACACAACGTCATTTTTTAACGACTACGTAACGTTGTGATAACGTTGTGGGAATGTCGGTAAAAACGTCATTTTTTAACCAAAATACAACGTTGTCCGAACGTTGTGAAAATGTCTCTATTACGTCATTTTTTAACCACTACATAACGTTGTGAAAATGTTGTCGGCATGTTGGTATAGACCGTCATTTTTTGATACCTACACAACATTGTGAAATCAGTAATATTGCATGGTCATTCTTTTTATAAGGGCGACGTACACAAGATTGTGGCAGGAATTGTGCGTTTTGAAAGTTTTGTAACGCCATTTTCTGATTCGGCCAACATTTTTTTTAATTTCGTTTCTATAACGACGCGTAAAGAAATTGACCCGTTACCCAATTAACAGTGACGTTTTGATTCCACCATGCACATGCCGTTGAGGAACTGTATTTCACTATAAAGCTTCATTTTTATACGTAAATTGCTGTGGGAATTGTGATGTAATTAAAGTGATTGGTCATCGATAATTTTCTGGGCTGGGGGATCTTTGATTTCTTATTAGTCTCTTCTCAAACGGCCAAACTGCTAGTAATTACTTGATTACTATAAGTGAATGACATGTACTTGCAATCATTGCAAAATACGTGCTAAATAAAGTTTTTTTCCAAAACTCAAAAGGCATAGTTTCTTAATCGCGTATTCGCCGACTGTCCACTAACCTGAAGTTCAGGATTAGGGCCTGAACTTCAGGTTAACTGTCCACTGACTTCGCCCACTATTAGCCGACTATTCGCCGACTATTTGCCGACTATGTGCCGACTATTTGCCGACTATTTGCCGACACTATACGCGTGTGTGTGACCATAGTGTGACGTACGGCTTGTCGGCACTCGGCATCTTTATTATTTATTCTCCGGCTTTGTTGGTGTTTGTTGTGAAGCTGTTGAAAATATTTGGAATCTCTATCCATCCTGTTATCAGAACTATCAATCCACACTTAAAAGTAAGTCAATGTTATTTCAATATCATATAATTGTCATTTTTTGGTTCATTAACTGTGTAAATATAGCATATTATGTTCGCATATTATGTTGAATTTTGTTCGCATATTATGTTGAATTCCCAACACTCGTGGGTATTTTATGTAGGTAAGAATTTTCCATTATCATTTATTGAAAATGTCCTGATTAGCAGACATTCTATGCTTTATTTACAACAGCTTGTCTGTGTTGGTAGCATCCCTGCGGGATATAAACTATGAAATTATTACAATAGTATAATAGCGTATAAATATAAAGTTCAAAGTGATTTGTCTTTGGCAATGACAACATGACGTTTTTCTTCAAAGAAAGTCTTAGCGCTGCAGTGTATGTATGTATTCTACATTTGGAAATGTTTTTAACATTTTCGGTGTTTCAAAGTTGGTCCACAACATGATAAGCATTTGTATATTGCTTTAAAAGCAACTTAAATATGTCAGACTACAAATTTATACAAAATATATGAATGGTCTACAGTCTACACTCAATTCTCATTACTGTGAAGTTCCACTTAATAGCTAGTATAGATTATAATAAGCCAAGATCAACAAATATGTGCACAGATATTGATGGCATACCATATTTAGTTTACAAAAATTTTAAGTCAAAATATATTTGTAACTCGATTTGTAACACAAGTAAGGGGCCGATCACATGGAGCATTTTCAGCCCAGTTTACAGGGTTGAAATTTGTTGTGAATGACATGAATAATCTCAGCCCCGGGGTAAAGCGGAGTATCATATAACATGAAAGGATACGGGAAGATGTAAACAGATTGTAAATAGTCAATGTAGCAATTTGGGTTGAATCAACAATACACATGCTTGCATGAATATTCCATGTTCGCAACCAGTACTAGGGAACATGAGTTCAAACCGATTTGCTGTGCTGACCCCTGCAGTGGCTATTGCAGTAACTATTAAGCGCTAGTAACATTAGTTCCCCTCAGATGAGTGTGATTCATCTTGTCATAATGGCAAGGAGTGTTCAGAGCAGGGTGTTTATAAATTTTCAATATTTATAACATTAGCTACTGTTTTCTGTTGTCAAATCAATATCAGAATACAAGCGGGGTGAGATGAATAAAATTAAGATGTGTTTTTATACCATAATGTTCACTTGATGCATGAAATAATCTAGAGTCAGTGGATCAGTATCGCAAATTCCAAATACCGATATACAGCCATCAGTATACTGGTAAATACCAGTGCACAGGTATTTTTAACATGTTTTTTTTAAGCTGGACCTCGAGAAAATTCAAGTTTTGACAAAGCATTATGTTAAAATACAACAAAAAGTTACCTTATTTACTGCCCAAGAAATATTTAAATAAACAACTTGAAAAGCTTTTGCTGCTTCGCAAATGCTTCCACTTTTCAAAACCAAAGGTTCCTTTTTATATGTTTACCAAAATCTCCTTGAAAAATTTTGCTATTTCTCTTCTCCTAAAATGTCCAAAAGAAACTTTGCGAAAGTATAGTAGCCCGGTTGTTACAAACTATATAGAAAGTATGTTTCTGAAACGCCCAATTAAAATCTTTCATGATTACAGAAAGCACTAGCAAGTATTCATAACCGATAATTTGCTGGCGTACTATAGTAACATAAATTTACTTATATATACATGTTTTATAGTTTATACTTGTACAAGAAAGATAATATAACACTAGTCATTTTGATTGATAGTGGCTGCACAATATCCAGAGGGGTCATAATCTCTTTTCGGGGGGGGGAGGTCATAATCTCTTCCATGGGGGGGGGGGTATGGATATTTTCTGGAAATGCACATTTGATTAATTAGGAGTTGCGCTGGGTTGAATCATTGAGAGACAAGAAAATGACAAAAAGCATTCAGGAATGTAGAATAGTACATGCATGCATTTTGGGGAAATTATGTTTTATTGGCCAGTGAAGCTGCACCAGCTGCTGTAGGATCTAAAACATGCTTTCATAGAGTTATCGCAGAGTATTATTGGATGTTCAGTATGTTTCATGAAACGTCTGTGTATGAACATGATACATGCTTGCATTGAATCAGGCTTCCTGTTACCTACAGGTGTCCTTCTTTTCCAAATTGGATATTTTCAATACTAGTTCGCTACATACAGTAATTTTATATCACATAATATAGAGAACTTAGCATTTGAAAGTTTTAAATAAGATTTGGCTTATTTCAAAATGCTTAAATGTGCAACTGATCTGGAGCAAAGTAGTGTGAAATAACTCTAGGAGATTCTAGTTGTCTTGTTTCTAACTTACAGAAACAAAGATGGCTACAAATTCATATCGAAAAGACTACAAAAGAAAATGGATTTCTGCTTGTCGTACACTCACAAAATATAACAACAATGCAAAAAGGCTGCCTATTGATCAGTGTGTACAATCTCCGCCCACTAAATTTCAAAGGGTTGAGAGACAAGACAAAATTGACTTTAATGTAGATGATTGTGATGAACCTCTGAGTCCTACTACTGGCATTAATTGCTCCTCTGATGAGTGTGATTCATCCTTGGCATCATGCGAGGAGTGTTCAGAACAGGGTGATTCAGATTGCGAATCTAAACCTGCAGATTTAAAAGATCTTTTAGCTGGCTGGGTGAACCAGTACCAAGTAAAGCACAATGCTGTTGATGATCTTTTAAAGATACTCCAGCAATCTGGACATTCTGAGCTACCAGCCACATCTAGATCATTATTACGCACAGCTAGAGTTATTGACATTGGACAAAAATCAGGGATGGAGTATGTGTATTTTCCCTTAGAACAAGCATTGTTGGAAAACTTTCTGGCCTATCCAAAAACTCTAAGAGAGAGTGTTGATTGTTTACATATATCTCTTAATATTGATGGTATACCCTTGTTCAAAAGCTCCACTGGCACTTTATGGCCAATTCTTTGCGGCATAATGAATTTCACTCCTGTTAAAGTATTTCCTGTTGCATTGACATATGGAGCATCAAAGCCACACGACTTAGATTTCTTGTCTGATACTGTTAGAGATTTGAACACGTTATTGGAGCATGGTCTAAAGTATGGTGACAAAATCCTCAAAGTTTCTCTAAGGTGTGTTGTCTGCGATGCTCCTGCAAAGGCTTTTGTTAAGGGTGTTAAATTGTATTCCGGCTATTTCGGTTGTGATAAGTGTTGCCAACGTGGTGTCTGGATTGGTCGAGTGACTTTTCCTGACATACATGATCTAATACTTCGAACTGATGCATCATTCCGAGATCAGTCGAATGAAGAGCATCATCATTGTGTGTCGCCCTTTTGTGATCTAGATATAGATATGGTTAAAGCCTTCCCAATTGATTATATGCATCAATTGTGCCTAGGTGTTACGAAAAAAATTATTCTAGCATGGATCCGGGGGAAAAAGGATGTGCGAATTTCAGCCCAACTTGTTGAAAGAATTAGTGCCAAACTGGTTGCTCTACGAAGCTACATACCACAATGCTTTGCTCGTAAGCCTCGAGGATTGGGCGAGGTAGATAGGTGGAAAGCTACTGAATTCCGTCAGTTTCTTCTTTATACTGGGAAATTAGTTTTAAAAGGAAGTTTGCCACGCCACCTGTATGATCATTTTCTGGTACTAAGTGTTGCAAGTTCAATTCTTGTTTCACCTGAACTTGCACAGGTCCATTTGAATTATGCTGCTGACCTCCTAAAGTACTTTGTGGAGAAAGCTAAGCTTCTGTATGGTGAAGAATTCATTGTGTACAATGTACATAGTCTCATTCACCTTGTTGAAGATGTTAAAACACATGGTTGCTTAGATAGCTTTAGTGGCTTTCCATTTGAAAATTATCTTCAAAAATTGAAGCGGTTTGTACGCTCTGGGAAAAATCCTCTCGCCCAGATTGTGAAAAGACTCAGTGAGTCATCTGGTAAAATCGGTCAGACCACAAGTACCTCCATCAGCATGAAACCACCAAATAATGGATACATTCTTGGGGACTCTTCTTGTTGCATTGTTGTCGATGAAACACATCAGTTTCAGTATGAAGAGAAAATGTTTTCTTGCAGGATCTACAACCGTTCTGAACCAATGTTTGTACAACCTTGTGACTCACGTTTAGTTGGAGTATATAAGGTTAAAGAACAAAATTCCTGCATAAAGTTACTGCCTGCTAGCACTTTAAAAAGGCAGGCTATTGCAGTTGAACTTGAACATAACACTTTGATCTTTTTGACCATCTTACATCAGTTGTAAATTCTCTGTGATCAGAATTAGGATGAAAATACCTAATGACTGAACATGTATATTGCAAAATGAGATAAACTGTTATGATGATACCAAAGAAAAGAGTGCTACTGGTATGTGAAATGGTAGTTAACTTCGTGGTTTGCTGGTTATGATTCTCTAGATGTCAACCAATTTTGCTGTTGTTGAATTTATTGGTGAGAAATCTGTTGATATTGTCTTGGAGTCTTGGATTGAAACCCGGGAAGGGGTAAGTGTTCTGTAACTGATGCCTGTTATGCTGTGTCTATGTTTAGGATTAACTGCATAAAAATTAGGCAATCACAATCAAGTGATGGATATAGATATTACAAGACTTTACAACTTGTTTTTAATATTTCCATAGTCATTGTATTGTTATTATCCCCGAACTAATGTTGCTGGCCGTGTAAGAAAGTTGGAGTTGCCAGATAAGGAGAATTGGTCTTCTTACAGAATACGGGTTTTATCATATACAGGTACATTTATCACATATATTTATAAATAATGATTATCTAAAGTGTTTCGTGGGCCATTCCATTGTTGTAAAAAATTGTGTTTTATGTGTTAAATTTTGGTTCGATGTATTTTATATCATCTATTTACAGATAAACATGAAAAGGCCAAAAAGCAATTAAAGCAAGCTGAACACACATCAAATTTGGATACATCCGACTCAGAGTCTGATTTGGAGAGACCAAATAAAAGGCAAAGGGGAAATATTAATTATGCAGACACTGAACTGACTGAAGGTAATCATTGCTGAAGATATAATTAACTAGAATTTAGAATAGCAAATGTGAAACTAAGGTACAGTGTGCATGTATTGGAAAAGGGAGTGGACGTCTGATGACAAGTATCTACTCAAGTAAAGTATCTACTACCTAAGCACATGATAAGTTCTTACTATTCTTTGTATTTTCTCTGTATTATGTAGGTGATGAAGAAAATATTGACCCTTCTAGAAACTTGTCTCGAAAGAAAACTTTGCAATCTAAAGGAAAGTCAACAGGTTTGTACGAATTACGAGTACCCCAAGCCTCAGTTCTTGGACCTCTACTCTTTTTGATCTACATCAATGATATTTGTGAGTCATCTGAGATTTTCAAATTCTTTCTTTTTGCTGATGATACTAACTTATTGTATGCTGATAAAGACCTAAAAATGCTTGAAACAGTTGTCAACGCTGAATTAAAGAAAGTCTGTGAATGGCTTGCAATAAACAAACTCACCCTTAATATAAGTAAATCAAATTTTGTAATTTTTCGACCATATCAGAAGTCATTGAATTTCCAGCCTGTAATTAAAATGTTTGATAATGATACCAAACAATCTACACCACTTGAATGCAAAGAATATGTTAAGTACCTTGGAATTATTATTGACTGTAACTTGAACTGGAAGCATCACATAAATTATATTACATTAAAGATTAGCAAAACTGTAGGAATCATTTCTAAATTGAGATATTACATCCCAAATCATACCTTGTTAGATATTTATAGCTCTTTTAACCATACTTCAAGATCAAAATGACTATGTTGACGTACCCATGATAATTGAAATGCTGCCCAATGTAACCGCGATATAATTTTCAGCTCATCATAACTTTCTAATTGCTTTCAAAAAGAATATATTTGTGTCATGAATAATATTTTTCATTCAAAAATTATCATAGCCAATCGGAATCTAAACTCTCGTTCTGTAAATAATTCATTTTACTTCTTCTCAATATAAATCAGTTGTATATATATAATGTTATTTAATTAGATTCATTTCCTGCCGCGATTAGCTTGCTATTGCATGATTTGAATGTTGTATTTGTCATGTGTATTATTCAAATAAACTTGTATTGTATTGTATTGTATTGTATTGTATTGTAACATCATATTTCATGTAAGAATTTCCAAATAAGTGTCTTGATATTAATTTGGGAGAGAGGTCTAGACAGCTTGTATTCTACACTTAACTTACTTCTTAAGTGCAAGCAATTGCTGAGAATTTGCCACAAATATAGAATACATAATATTATAATTTGACACACATTAATTTGTAAATATGTATTAATTTTGTATTTTTACATAATTCTGAGAAATTATGAACATTTTACCAAAATGACCATCCTAATCTTAACTTAGGCCTTATGCAAATAATTTCTTAATTTATTTCTGTTTCATTAACTTGTGGTGTAGGAAGTCGCAGTAAAAAATCAAGCCTAACAAAAACTTCACAGGCCAGCACAGACTTCTGCAACTTAGCGCTACCAAGCCCCCCAGATTATCAGAGAAGGAAATCAAATGACCAAACAAGGATGCCTTGCAACAGTACGTATTATTTTAATAAATAGAAAATATTGTCAGTTATAATATGGTACAACATTTATTGTACACAATGTTGATTGGCCAAGAAACATGTTTTTCGCATTTCGGTGTGACTAATTTCAACATGATTGCAGATATTCTAGATATAATGATAATCAGAATGACCTCATATGTATATACTGTTTTCCCCCGTGTATTTTCAATTCTGCGGTACTACTTACAGTGTAAGTCCAAGTGTATCTAGGTCCTATTTTCAACATGAGCGGCCGTGTTGTATCATTGGCTTAAAAATCTCACATGAACTTATTGGCGAAGTACATTTATTTTAAAAATAAACGTTGTCTACTAAGCTGAGAAAATCAAAGCTAAAGTTTCTGTAAATGAACATGATTCTGTATCATGTACAGATCACCGACCCAGTGGTGATTGCTTTTGAATTTTCTTCATGAATTTTTAGTAAGTTTTTTAATAAAAGATGTAATAAACTAAAGTGTGTCATTTTTTGAAAAGTCTTATTGTATTAATTAAAAGATTTTCTATTTCTCTCATAGTACTGTATTATTGTTAATTTTAATTTTCTTGCATGTTTTAGATCTTTTGTACCCTGATAGGCAGTCTGTTTCATGTCCCAGTTCTTCCTCCAGAGTAAACAGGTTTGAAAGTGCAGAACTTGTTGGAGATTCCTTGCGAATTCTTGCCAGTCAACCATGTGACACTTCGATTCAAAATAATCAGGGATCACTTGCCAGTCAACCATGTGACACTTTGATTCAAAATAATCAGGGTATGTGATCCAAATTTTTTATCGCTAAAGCCTGCAGCACACAACAGCTATCTCCTGAGGAAAATGTTACTTGTGTCTATTTGCTCAGCACTAATAACTCGCCCGTGTGCGCGTGAATTTCATTGAGTTTTTGGACACACGTAACCTTGAGCTAAATGTCGAACATGTTCGATTTTCGAGCTAAGTGCTGAGCAAACAGGCACGAGTAAGTTCTAAGGCATTACTTTTATTTTTGTTCTTTTTAGGTCCATTTTTTACATCCCAACGTGTTGACAATAATGATTCCTTTACATCATTACTGGACGATTTGCGGAGTCCATTCGCAGACTTTGAGAATCAAAGTAGGTTATTTAGATTTATCAGTTTTCTAGCTAGCGAATACAGATGTCTCTACACACGTGAGACGTCTGTACTTGCTGGCTACCAGTTTTCTGACTAAAGATAATTTCTCAACTACACTAGTTTGTACTGTAGATGCAATATTGCATTTAATCAGTTTACTGTATTTACTTATCCCTTTTGGCTATTCCAGATCATTCGACATCTACCATGGAACCGAGAAAGCATCATAGCGAAACTAATCAAAGTAAGTTCTTATTGAAAACTGAAAATTAACAAGAATGTTTTTGTAAGATATTATTCTCTCGGTTGTTAATAAGTAACACATAAGGGGCCATTCACAAAGGATGTCCGGCCAAATGATGGATTTTCAGACCTCCCCCCCCCCCTGTCCCGTATTGTCGGAATTAGTGACCCTTCCCCCGGACATCCGCCATGCCTCGCAAAAACACACGCCACCTTGTGTATGTCAAGAATAAAAAACTTTTCTTACTTTTTGCACTTTTTTTTATAACTATAAATGTGAATACAAAAAGAGCTATAAATGCAGAAAGCTATTATTTCACGACACTGTTGAATTGAAGGAAAGAATTAGATAATATTATGAAGTGTTCAAAATGCCAATTTCACAATGGGAATGAGATTGCTAACTCTCCCCCCTATGTCCGAGTTTGTCCTGATTTTCCAACCCCCCCCCCCGGCTCGGACATCCTTTGTGAATGGCCCCTATTGTATTGTTTTACTCTGTCTAACGTACCCTGTACTCGTTTACTCTCAATAACGATTTTCCTGAGGATGATAAATTGATTGCAATGTACAGCACTCAAAACGTCGATTAAAAACAAAATGTTGTTTGGAGTAACTGTTTGGAGTTTTTATCTTGTTTGACTGGTGATTAGAACCATGTACGATCAGATTCCTTTCCTTTGTGATAAAGAACCTCTCACTATGACAATTTTTCTATAATAATTCTTTGCAGATTTTAAAACGTCTGTGCTCATGAAATTAGATTCGATCATTGAGAATCAAAAGGAAATTCTAGTTCACTTGCGGCACCAAAATGTTGGAATCGAAAGAACGTGCAACGGAGATCTGGACGATTCCCTGGCCAGACCAATGAATGCATTGAACGAAGTAGAAGAGCTTTGTGGCAAAGTGGAACAAGCCGCGTTCGCCAAGACATTGGTAAATAAATGTTAAAAAAAAACTAACTTTTTCTTCAACACATTCAAAGTTGTCGTAATTTATTATGTAATACAATTAGTTTTATTCTAGATTTCTCTCCTGGAAATATTTAAATCGTATCTTAACAGTATTGCAAAAATTATATATTTTTTATTTTTTCAAAGGTGAATTATCTGGCCGCACAATGTGGACATACTTGCGGAGATACTGTTCGCCGAATTATGGCAAAGCTGGGGACAAACCAGCTGTGGTCCTTATTTAGCTTTAAAGGCCGGAAGGGGAAAAAATCTTTCAAAAGTTTAAGTTTGTGCAATACAATTATAAGTAAGTGTAATATACTCGAGCTAAATATTCCAGCATTTGATTAAACAAAAATTGGATTGAGAGCGATCTTGACCCATGTTTTGGTTTAGCCAGAATGAGGCACTTGCTAGAAGTGGTTTTACGTTGAAAGTTAAAACTAATAGTGATTGGTAATTATCACCTTACTGATATTGGTATTTTTTCCAGAAGCCTGTATGAAGAGCCATCCGAAAGCCACTGAACTTAGCATCGAAGAACACATCTCGGAGACCCTGAAGCATGCCCCGAACAAGCCTGGTGGCTCAAGATACCGGGTAAACAGCGTATTATTGTGCATAGAGTTTGTAGTTTATTGGTCGTTTTAATATGTAGAACGAGCAGATGTTTATATGGCTTTTAGTCATGGGTTGTTTTATTTAGACGTCGACCTGTTCAATGTACTATAAATTACAAGCTTCGAATCTTTATACTGTATGCTTGGGGAGGGGGGGGGGAGGGGTTGCAGACTAGATTAGAAGTGGTCTGATTGTCACGAAAGAGGTAGAGAAGCCTCTGGAAATGCTATTTCCGATTATCTAGAGAGCTTACCTGCCTGCTTCTACATTAAAATAAATGATAAAAATAATGTAGCACAACAAGCTTTGCAAGAATGTAAAGGCCAATAGAACGAACACGTGCATAGACTTCACTTTTTAGGTATTAGATTTAGTAACTTCAATTAATATATTAATTAATAAATGTAGTGTATTTAATTAATAGTGTACACGATTGAGATAAAAGCTTGATTGCTTTTATCTCAATCGTGTTTAAATAAATTTATTATGATTCTGTCACTAAATATTGTTTAATTCTTTCTTGTTTACTAGGCCATGGACAAATCTCAAGAGAAAGATGCAGAATAAATGAAAGACTTAAGAATTAAGATTAATTGCATGTTTTGTTTTAATTAATATTCATAGTTTAATTTATTGTATTAATTGTAAAATTGTATTTATAACTAAGTAACAAATTAAAAGATTGAAAAGAAACGGTGAGATTGTCCTATCGGTCATCAATGAGTGGCATGTATATCAATAGTTATGGCAACCACCGAGTATTTTGATAAAATACAAAAGAACATTAAGTCCGAATAACATTTTGTAGCTTTATTGAATCTAGGTTTCGACTATATTTTAGTCATCATCATGCAGGACAGATTGATGATGATGACTAAAATATAGTCGAAACCTAGATTCAACAAAGCTACAAAATGTTATTCGGAGTTACTGTTCTTTTGTAATGTATATCAATATTTTGCCATTTTTCTGTTACGTAGAGAAGACGTTGTTACAACGTTAGAACAGGCGTTATAACAATATTTTTCTAACGTCACGTCACAACGTCGTGACAACGTTGTCTCATAACGTTATGTCCGAACGTTGTTCCAACATTGTGACAACGTTGTTTCTACCTTGACCACAACGTTGTCACAACGTTTTCTGCTGTCTACAAATTTACGTTTTCACAACGTTTTAACATGACGTTTTCACAACGTAAATCCAACGTTGTTGCAACGTTTTTAAAACGTTAATGTGTTGGCTGGGAGTGTGGTAATATAATGGCATTATATACTTTTTTCAATGTTGTTTTAGGAATTATTTTTTTCCTTCGCCGTAACATGCCGATACCTTTTGAAATTTTAGTCTGTATGTTTTCGATTTGCCTTTCCCAAGTAAGATTCTCATCTATAACAACGCCTAGAGTTTTAGAATAGCTTACCCGTTTAATTGTTGTTTCGCCTACGTGGATTTCCGGCTCATTTAATACTTTAGATAATCTTTGTCTAGACCCAATTACCATATATTCGGTCTTTTCTTTATTCAAAGTAAGCTTATTAGCCAGCAACCATTGGTGTATGTTGTCTAAGTCATGGTTTAGTTGTTCCTGAATTTCTGCCGCTGATGAGCCATGTGTAGAAATATTTGTATCATCGGCAAACATGCTAGCAGCCGATGAAGGCAAGCAATTTGGAAGATCGTTTATATATAATAAAAACAATAATGGGCCAAGATTTGAGCCCTGTGGCACACCACATTTAACGATTCTTTTGTTAGATAATGTTTGGTTAACTTTACACATTTGTACTCTATCAGAGAGATAGGACTGGAACCATTGAAATGATTTTCCTCTTATTCCATAATTATAAAGTTTTCTTAATAGAATACTATGATCAACACAATCGAATGCTTTTTTTAAGTCAAGAAAGATAACACCATTCAAATTTCCCTTATCCATGTTAATAAACCATTGATTTGTAATGCTAAGGAGAGAAGTCTGCGTACAGTGTTTCTTTCTAAAACCAGCTTGTTGTTGTACAAGTAACCCATTCGTTTCAAGATAAGTTTCCAGATGGACATCGTGATACTTTAGCAACGTATTTACTCCAACATTGTAGAATTCCTTTCCGTCGTCGAATTGCGCTGCCTTCGGATATCTGCCAAACCTTTCCTTAAATTGTGCGAGTACCTTTTCAAGTGCCTCCGTCATACTTTCGGTATTTCCCCTCCAGACGGGAACGGCAAAGGCATACCGACTCAGAATCTCTATGACAGTCAAAATACAGCGGTTCCCCTTATTCTTGTAGCTGAACTTGCTCATGTCCACAAGATCCATCTGAATCTGCTGTGCAAGTCCGTCCACATATGTCCTTTGGGTTTTGTAATGCTTGCTGGATGGTTTGTGAATGATGTACTTGTTCTGCGTTTGCAGCCATTCTCTGACGTTTTTCGGCTAACACCCGGTACACCTTCCTCCTTTGCCTTTTGGTATAGTTTTTCCATCGACATGTACCCACCGTTGACGTTAAAATATATTTCTCGAAGAGCTACATCCAATTGCAAACTCATTTTATTATCGGTAAATAAAACATGAAGAAGATAACGACTTACATTAAGGACGGAGGGATTACCCTAGATCTTTGGGATCCTTTGGTCCTTACCCACGAATCCTAACTTTTCGTAAAAACTGCCGCCGTCTTTTGGAATTTCAAAACCATTCGCGCGGGTTACAACGACTACATTTCCGTAGATGGGAAGAAAGTTACGATGGATGAAGGATACTGGACGTTTAAACAGCTACAAAAAAATATGGAGGAAAACGGACTGACGTTCAAGGAATATCCAGACGGAAGAGTAAAGAATGACCTCGATAGTGGGACAAAGACGGTGGAACTTCGAAATCTCACGGGGATTTTGGGATACCAATCCTCCAACGGTCCTACATACACTCCACACATCATTCACAATGGTTTGCGATACTTTACGGTCAGCTGTAATCTCGTGAACCGTGAGCACAACATCGGACCGGACGGAAATCGGAGTGTTATCATCACCTCTCTTCCGATCGATGGAAACAAACCTATTTTCGGAACCGTGACCAAGTACAACGACATCGGAAATCAGGTACTGGTGGATGCTGGAAGGTACAGCGAAATTCGGTTTGAAATCGGATCCAATATCAGAGTTATTCCGGGAGACGTTTTGTTAGAACTTTACATTAAATAAAAGTATGAGTGAGGATATCTTTCGCAACTACTACGGAAAGAATTACGAGAAGGTTAAGGCGGCAACACCTATCGAAATCCGGAAAATGAAAGAGAATTTTAGGAAAAAGTATCCCAACGCAACCCTATCCAAATTCGACTTTGAGGTTACCTTTGCCAAGGACGGAACCGTGTAGTCCAGGGACATCTTCTACAAAGTGGATAGTCTAACGAGCTATTATATTACGTCTGATACGTTCCGTACAAATCCTGAGTGGACGAAGTACCTCCATTGGGTAGAGGGGTGGCGAAGCGTTCTTCCTGACATGATTTTTCGTCTAAATAAGGATTTTAAATGAATGTGCACAGTTTCAAAGTTTATGTTACGGAGACCGGAAGTTTTATAACAAAATTAGAACCCATCAAACCGGTGTATGATAAGCCTGTGGACACCTTCATCAACATACTACCGTTCGACTATCACTCCAATTCCTACTTTTGCTCTCTGGCTGCATCCTACGTTGCTATGTTTAAGTGTGGAATTTCCGAGGATCATCTTACGAATAACTTTTCCGAATCGCATTCCAATATAGTAACCTCCATCGTTCGCTTTCACCTCCATTTCCACCTTTCGAGATTTATGCGTAATCCCAAACTTCTGGACCAGTACATAACGAAAGATGGTATACGAACCATCCGGAAATTTACACCCGTTCACGAAACGTGGGAAAGGAGAACGGACTCTTCTCATGCAAACCTTGGGACATGGTACTATGATAAGCATGTGAACGAACGGGGAAGAATAATAAGGCGTCAAAAATATCATCTGACCAAATACGGAGGCACATTTATCGAATACGAATACCTGACCGGCAGGTCTCCCTACAGCGTTGAAAACGATTACAAGACCCTTATTCCCAAAACATCCCGAGGACTTACCAAAGTTGGACAAAAGCTATTCCAACAGTC